TTCCTCGCTTCTTCCAGCTGCCCGGCCTTCCACAAAGAAAATAGCTTGGCAGTTGATTTCGGGAAAACATTGGCAATTCCTGTCACGCAGCCTGATCCGCCGCCGCTGAGACAAGGGATGAGCCAGTCAGATGAACCAGCATATACCCCAAACTGTTCATGCGTGTATTCTTGAGTTAACCGGGTAACCTTGCCAGCGTTACCACAAGTCAACTTTACCCCGACTATGTTGGGATGCTGCGCCAATGTGGACATGGCATCTGAGTTCATATCCACGCCATTGCAGACCGCTGGAAACTATTCTTCTAGTTCAGCTCACATTCATGCATGCATTATGTGTGGAAAAAGAGCTTACGCTGTATATGACGATTGGAAGAATGTTGCTGTCTGCTACCTCCGTGTAGAAGTCCAGAATGACGTCTTTTGTGACTGCTTTAGGCCAATAGCTGGGCGGCAGAAGTAGCCCAAAGTCTGCTCCTGCCTCACGAGCGTCTTCAGCCAGGCGAAGAGATTCGTTGGTTGATTGTCCACTAATCCCCGCCACCAGTGGAAAGTCACCCACCCCTAAATCCACAGCCGCCCGTCGAGCAGTTCTTAACAACTCCTTTCGCTCAGTTGACGATAGCAGCACCGCCTCAGCATTTGTGCCAGCGAGTACGAGTCCGGCAATCCCACTCCGGATGAGATGGGTGAAGAACTTGTAGGAAGCGTCGTAGTCGATTTCTTGCCGTGGTGTCCCTTTGAACAAAGAGATTACTGGGCAATATATGCCCGGAGGCAACGGTTTGCTCTTGTGCGGAATTGCTGAGGTCATGGTTGTGATCTAGAGTACTGTCCAATACTGCAAACTACTAGTGTCTTTATAACAAACCACTCGGGCTTCTCCCGAAAAGACCGGGATAAACATAACCGACAATGCGGGGTAACCAGGCTGAACGCCCAACAACCCTCAGAAACATCAGGCAAGTGACATGTTGGCGATATCAAAAGCGCTACAATTCGATATGGTCAAGCGCAAGCGACAGGCATCCATAACGGAAGCCGACGGCCACAGGGAAAAAATCGCTGGCTCCCTCACGCCAGCTTCGGCCAGCTCCCGACAGCAGCAAGGCACACTGGAATATCCCGGTCGGTCTGAGTCGCCTGCCCGTCAGGACGCGGAGAGAAGCCCGCAACAACCCGCAGCAATCCCATCGCTGGTCAATGTCTTGCCCAGTATCACCCGAAAGGTCACTGCATGTGTGGCCTGTCGGAAAAACAAGGTGAAACTTTGGGGTCTAAGAGGTTACATCGCTCAATCTAATACTCACGCCTTAGACAAAATGTGATATGCCAGAAAATGGTCCACCTTGCGTTCGATGTCGCCGGCGATCGCTGTCTTGTGTACTAAATCGAAGTCTTCAATCCTTGGTTGAAGATACTAAGTCAGTTTCTCCCTCTTCCACCTCAAACTATGTAGTCTAAACTTGTATGCCTTACAGAAATGTCGAGCACCTGAGGACCGACGTACAGAATCTGCATCAGACCATTGACACCATCTGCCAGACCTTAGACCTTCAACGCCCAAGGCCACTTCTAATATCAGCAAATGAGGGAAATGAGGAGGGAGCTATTACAGAAAGCATCGGGCTAGACCGTGAATGTGACGCTTGTCCAACGGAAGGATGCGAAGTATCCCCACCAGAGTCACCCACAGCGGTGCAGGCTCCTATTGATACCTTCCTCGATATCGCCAAACATGGAACTCCAAATGCCACGAAGGTTCCACCAGGTGTCACTCGCGCTACTAGCCGAGTGGATCTCATTAGTAAAGGCATCATCACAGTCGAAACAGCAGAAAAACTACTGCACCGCTACTTCTCTCGTCTAGATCACTTTCTCTATGGCATCTGTAATGAGAATCAGGATATAACCCATCTACGCAAGGAATCTCCAACACTCCTCGCTGCCATATGCACTGTCTCAGCCCTCCATGACCCCCATGACCAGGAAACCTACGAAGCGTGTAATCGCGAGTTTCGCTCTCAGGTTTCGCGGTCTCTGTTTGAGAAGCGTGACGTGGAATATCTACGAGCCTTATGTATTACCTCTTTTTGGCTTGCAGACGCTTCACGAATCTTGTCCAGTGATGGCATCCGTCGAGCAGCTGATATGCGTCTCCATCGCAGTTTCGACTCTCTTCTTGGCATTCATCCGCCCGAGTATTCCTCCCCATCGAACTCGTCACCAATAGTTGCAGCAGATCGCATTCGCCTATGGTATTTATTATTCGTCTGCGATCAACACCTCTCGATCCTCCACAACCGCGACTCGCTTCTGCGGAACGATAAGGATATTGCGGTGAGCTGGGAATCATACCTACATCGCGCAGAAGCAACTGAGTCAGACGTACGAATTCTGTCGCAGGTGTCGCTGCTTTTAATCATGGGCCAAGTTCGAGATGTCTTGGGGTCCGACAAGGAGATGCAGCTGCCATCGGCCCTTACTCATCAGATTACCAACTACTCGCGACAACTTGACAGGTGGTTTACCCGGTTTTCTGCCCTCTTCGTCACGAATGCGCACATCGGAGAATTTCCAAGAAGAGGGTTGGAGCTGCACTATCAGTTTGGGAAACTATATCTTGGTCATCAAGTGTTCAAGGGGCTCCGTGGCAATCCTATCCCCCTCCCTTTTCTGTCCGCAGCCCAAATGGCTCATGAGGCGACCGTCACTATTTTTGAGATGATCCTAAATGATCCCCAAATGAGCGAGAACCTCGTTGGCATGCCACACTATTTCCATGTAATGATCGCATTTGCCGGTCACTTGTTACTGGAGATATGTCACAATCATCATGTGCAATTAAACATTGATCTACACGTGGAGCTTCACCTCATTAGTGCGGTTCTAGGCGTCTTTCGCAGCATAGAATGCATCACATATCACCCATTGCGCCGAATGGCTCCTGGGCTGACTCGGAAGCTCTCCGAGACGGTTACCTTGTTAGGACTGGACGGTCTGTCTGGAACTAGCCACACTGGCAACATCTTACCTCCTGCGGTTCAACATGCAGAGATAGCTGGTGGTGCAGGACACTCAGCCCAGGCCTTGGGCTCTATGAACAATATGTTTCTATTGGGCTCTACTGAGCCTCCCGTTGATGATTTTCTGTTCACCGATATGGGAGAATTTACCTTTCCTGACCTAGTGTCGAGTTTCATGCCGTAGGTATGGCAGTCTGGGAAGTTGAATTTCAGTCGTTTGCGATGATATATATATCCGATAATTTCTTCAATACTACTTATCCACTTTTTGTATCAGCACATAGTAGCCAAAGTGTCCTACTTGTATCTCATTGCTCCAAAGCGCACAGACTACAAAACCCCCTGCTTCTGACGTAACTATATAGCCTCCACAGGGAGAGGCCTGTATTCTTCCTCAAGTAATCCAACCTCTTCATCAGACAGTTCTACACGCAACGCCTCTGCCGCCGACTCAATTCTCTCCATACTATTCAACCCCACAATCGGACACGCGCCCTTCTTCAACAACCACGCAATAGCAACAGCACTCATACTGCACCCTTTCATCCTTGCCAACTGCTCCACCCGTGAAACAATAACCTCGTTGTGATCTCCAGAGAACCATTTAACCGTCTTCTTATCCTGACTAGACCGATACGTCTGCGCATTCCACGGCCTAGCCAACAACCCACGAGCCAACGGACTCCAAGGAATCAACCCAATCCCCTCGGCCCTACAGAACGGATTAACCTCCCGCTCCTCCTCCCGGTAAAGCAAGTTCCAGAGTCCCTGCATACTCGTAAACGTCGGCCAATTATTCATCTTCGCCGTGTACTGCAACCGCGCCAACTGCCAACAGTACATGCTCGACGCACCCAGATAATGAACTTTGCCCATCCGAACAAGATCATGCAGTGCACCCATGATTTCCTCTGGCTCAGTATCGTCCAGTCGATGTAGCTGTAACACATCAATATACGTCGTGTTCAGTCGCGCAAGTGACCCTTCCACCGCGTCGAAGATGTGTTTTCGACTCAGACCCATCTGATTCACCAGCTCACCGTCGTTGATGGCGGGATTGGGTCGCGATGGAGCATCCGGGTCGAAGACTGGATAGTATAGCTTGGTCATGATCACGACCCTGCTTCGTGGGATGTTGTATTTCGCCAAGGCTTTAGCGATTAAAATCTCTGATGTCCCGTTTGAGTAGGAGTTCGCTGTGTCCCAAGTGTTGATTCCGCTGTCGTAGGCTTTCTTGAGTAATGGGAGGGCTTCGTCTTCTGGGAGCACCCAGGGACTGCCTTCCCAGGCGGGATTGCCAAAGGTCATGCATCCGAGGATGATTTTGGAGGTTTTGAGGCCGCTTTTGCCAAGGCGTTGGTATTCCATGTTGTTGTTATACGAATGTTACCGCTGTGGATACTGTAGTTATGGACTGTGTTGCAATGGTAGTAGCTGTGGCTTTGATCCATGATGTTTAAATCATTCTGGCCTTGATCGTCATCAATGTCAGGGAGAGACCGGGGAAGATTCGTTGAGAGGTCGGAAAGATTCCCGGTGGGCGGGGGAATCCGTACTACTTTCGGGGTTTTCTCCGCAATGATATGTATCCCTGTCAGGTCCGTTATTTCAATCATCGGTATTTATTTATAGACTAATTTCGAAGGGTGATTCCACAGTACCATCAGTGGCAAATAAGGACAGATGGTGAATAAACTTTATTTGCATGCTCTTTGTGGCTTCTGCGAAACACTCACACATTGGCTCACCATGTAAGATTGATGCAAGGCCAATGACAGAACTATGGATCATTCCGCCAACTCTTCTCCCTCTCAAGTAGCATTTAATGAAATGATAAACCCGATGAAGGTGGGATTCCTCCCTAGTTATTATGCAGATTCGTAATGGTTTTTCTTTTTTTTCTTTTTCTTTCAGCTGTCATACTCGATTAACAGTATTACGCACGGTAAACTTGTTCTGTGACAGTGAGCATTCACTTTGAGGGACTGAAATGCCAAAACCACCCGCCCCCTCAGAGGAAAACTTTGAACTACTTCCATTTCTCCGTGACATCCCTCCTGAACACAACTGGCGAAGCTAATATCTCCTTTCTTCAATCAAAGACTTCCCTAAAAGAAGCAGCCACGACAGGATGACTTCGCGTTTTCGTTCTCTGTTCGGTCAGTCTGATCAGGCGCAAGTCCGCCACCAAGAAGTGCGCGCCCTTGTGTTAGACAAAATGAGGAAAACCTTCGAAGACATCGCCAGCCATGACGCCACGTGGATCGAGCCTGATATGCAGGGAATTCTGGGAGTCATATGTGAGGAGATGCACGTCTCGCAAGAGGGATTCCATGAGGATAAGTTCGTCCCACTATTCTTTGAACCTCTTGGAACGTCCAACATCCCGCCTCTTGATCTTAGCGATCTTCAGACCAAAGACATACTCAAGAGAATCACCAGAATGTGGGACAAACCCCCTCCGTGGCCACCGACAGTGACCGATCAGCTTCAGAAGCTAGTATACGCTATTGAAAACACTTTCTGTGTATCCAGTCGCGTCTACGATAAAGAGTATGGATGGTCTAATACACTGTCGCATTACGCAAAATGGGTCGAATGGTGAGCCTACCCTTCCCGGCGAAACCATGAGTAGGTACAATCATAAGAACCCGTCTGGAGCTGACGAACTCATCTCAAGTGGGGACATTACGCCGGAGCTCGTCGCCGAAGAATTTGATCGCCCGGTTTGGGGACCACGTGGATCGATGCCATATCTCGGTTATAGAGCTAGGAATCAGCTCAACATGCCCCACACCCTGCTCGCAACGCTAACACGATCTGAAGCGAATGAGAAGCTTTCGAGGTCGGAGGCTTTAACCATTTTGACGGTCATGTTAACTAGGCTGAAGAGTGGCGATTTTCCCAACCGCACTGTCATACCTGTAAGTAGCATCTCAGCGTCAGCCTTCTAGCTGCTCGTCTTTGAAAGGCTCACCCATCTTACTCGAAACCAGATAATGTTGATAAGTGTCTTCGCCGGATTCCAGGTCAGGGTTCTAGAGGCCCACTACGATATTAGGGGGCTCGTCATTCGAAAGTCTAAATTCCTAAGCTTCGCGAACCGAGACGCAGCGATTCCGAACATGGATATCTTGATGAGTTTCATGTGTTCCGAAATGATTGGGAACACAAGGGATTTGAGAATCCTGACCAAAGTGGACCCTCAGAGACCATTGCAGTGACTTGACTGGCAAACTAACAGTTCAGCTATAGCCGGAAACGGAAGTCCCCCATTCCCGGGGCGATAGTTGTATAATGGATGACAGAGCTGTATTGGGATAAGACTATCCTATTCATTGTATCCAAGAGTTATAATTAATGCGATGCGCCGGTCCTTCGACTCTCCAGCGTGACGCTTAGCGGTCCCACTTCATTACAAGGAAGCTTATCGGCCTGATAGCAGCGACCTTTTGCTAAAGCCGAATCAACCTCCTACGTCCTCTGCATTCGGCGAAGGGACAGCTTATAATGATAAGGCGAACTTATGGCGAGGGGCACTGGATCTCCTACTTCTTCGCATTTTGCAAGATTCGAATGATATTCACTGTCTGGTATATTCCCCTATAATCCTTTCATCATTGTTTCCTTCCTGTCTAGTAATATATCTCTAGTGCGGCTGTATGATACGAGTGAAGGGACTGTGAACATACAAGAGCGAATTCAATTAGTGTAGGCGAGGTCTATCTCCCACAAGGAATTTTCCTTTTCCTTCTAACAATCTCTCAATACTACTAGCTCTCCTTCTGCGTCTTGCTGATTTGTTTACATGTCTTCCTTTACCAGGCAAAGTCCATTATCGGAAATGCCGAAGCGCGCAATGAAGACCAGCCCAACCAAGTAAGGAAACCCCCCCCCCCCCCCCCCCCCCCCCCGGGGAAAAATCCCCACAGAGGCTGGGCAAGGTGGAGAATTTCGAGATACCGACATCTACACGCAATTGGCATGAGATTGTGCAGAAAGGAGGTCTAGAGAACTTTAAGATAAACACTCTACCCAAAGAAGTATTCGGGTCCGTTTCGAAAATTTCGAACATGCAATACTTGATGATGCGCTCGTACTCCTTACCTCTTATACCTCCCTTCCAATTTGGGGCCACGATGAGGAAGTTAAGTTTCAGTCCGGACTTAATGCGTCAAGCTGATGGTATACTTGAGAAATCTCGCGACTGGGCGAATTACATCAGCGTTGTTGAGAAAGAAATCCCAGTTGCGCGTCTACGGGAAGGAGAAAGTGACCTGTGGCCTGGTGCGTTTATGGCTGCTAAGAGGCTTCAGGAGCAAACTTGCACCGTTGAAGGTGTCCATGACCGTGCAAGAAGAGCCCGCTATCGAAAGGTGGAGGAGTTCAGCGATGCCGAAGACGAGGCAACGCCACACGCGGCACTTTTAGTCCTTCTTCAAGAAATAACGCACATGGTGGAGGGTACCGGTCTCGAATGGGTTCTTAACAAGACACATTTTGTCGCTGATTTTGAAAATGGGCGACAATATAACGCCTATTGCGATGGTGCACTGAGAAGAACCAGTGACCTATCATCGAAGCTAAGTAAGGGAATGCGAGCCAGAAAGAGCCGGACTATCATCACCCAAGAAGCCTGTGAGATTGTTATGAAGCACCCACAGTCCAGCATCTTCAAAGATCAGTAAGTAGGCTCCAAGAGCAGGCTTTTTTTCGAACAAGTAAATAACACTGGCTTTCGCGCAGCTTTCTTCTTTCCTCGCAAGACCGTCATCAGATCTTTCTCACCTTTGCGAGGTTCCGCCAAAAGCTATTTGAGTACTACAAGGATGGAGCTTACACTAATGAGTTTCTGTCCCTGAAGACATTTGGGCCTTGGGACACCGAAAATCCCCTCCGTCTCGTCCATCTGGCAAAGGTCATCACCTCCGCAATTATGATTGCAAAGGCGGCCCTTCATGTCTGAATTCTGTTTCTCATCCAACTATCCTCCGTCTATTATGTTGAATCTCAAGTCACAAAGGTGTCCCAGGGTCCAATCCATCTATCTATTCACCTTGGTCAAACAGCAAGCCGGCAACGATGCCTGTCCGGATAAAGCCTAGTCGAATCAATCTACCAGTTTGCCTCTGTTCATCTTTGTCGACTGTCGGCACACGTCATGCACTGACAGGTCCAGCTTAAAATCTTAGATTAGGCATAAAGTACTTTTCGAAATAATTGGAAGCAATAAGCTCTCATACATCGCAGTTGGGGTTAATCGAGTGTCATGACCGGAGTTTTTATGCTAGCGTGACAAATGGCATTCCAAGCTGAAGTTCCCTATCGCATATTGGACCGCTAGTTCCAAAATAAAATACTCCTTGGGCATACCAGGCTAGGTTGCATTTACCAAATTGCATTGAATGAAATTGCCCACATGACGACTAGTGAATGACTTCTGTTGTCTGCTACTTCTCACCTTTTGGAACGGTAGAACGGAGGCAAAACTCCTTTGCCATGTCTATCATTCCTGTGATGAAATTTGTCTTAGCCAAGTATTCTTGTTGATAACTGCACCATTGCCCCTCCTCCAAAATGTTTGCTACAATATTGAAAGGCCTCGCCGTAATCATACTATTTCTACTTGTACACCACGACTCCACCCGTATCTTTCGACGCAAAACAGCCATATTCAATACACCTAAACAGTGTCGCTTGATAATCACTGCAGATGGCCAGTTCACCAACAAGAAAAACATGTTGTCACCCTACGAGTCTCGCGCACTCTCCAATTCCAGATTTAAAACAGCGTTTTGCATCCGAAATGCGTTCACGAGCTCCGACGAAGACTTTGTGACCCAGCACGTGAAGGACATCAAAATGCTTATAAATCTCACTCCTCTGGATTGGAACCATCTGTCTCAGTCTCTCCAAGAGCCTGCACGCTACTGGGTCGACTCATCAGAGGGTACAATCCACTTGGCCAGTATTACTCAGACTCTTACTTTGAGGTTGGTGCTGGTAGGGATTTTCAAACTAGAACCTAGGATTCCACCTTCTGCAGACCTCTTCTTCGCCGACTTTGCACGATGTATCAACGAGTCCTGGATCTTAGCTAAAGGACCCGATATCCTTTCATTTGAAGACAATGAAGAGCTATGGGACTGCGTCACTGCTTTCTTTCCTTCGTCTGATCAGTTTCAGCGCGATGAAAATCCGCTAAATGTGATCCTTCCGGGCTATGAGACCAGCTGGAGGGTGGCGCTACGCATGTTCCTTGAGATCAGACGTAGTTCCAATGAGGTTTGGGTTGATAAGATGGTGAGTTTTGCACTGCACCCTACGAAGGTGCAGTTTCAGGACGACGACGACGACGACGACGACGGCATTTCTGTCGAAGCAATGGTCTCTGAGGCTCTTCGTCTGTATCCACCTACCCGACGCATCCGCCGAACTTTCCGCTTCAAAGATGGGAAAAATGGTGCAGTTGATGAGATCTTTGCAGCAGATATTGAGGCCTGTCATCTGGACAAGAGTATCTGGGGAACAGACGCCCTGGAATACAAGCCTTCGCGATTTGCTACATTGACCTGGGAACAGAAGGAAGCTTACATGCCCTTCGGTATCTCCCCCTTTCTATGTCCTGCAAAGCCTGTCTTCGGGCCTAGAATGATTGGGATGGTTGTTGGGGTTCTATTCCTCGCATTGCAGGAGGGAGGGAGCTGGAGGCTTGTTGGAAGGGATAAGCACTCTGCTAATGACTATATGTCTGGTGAGCGATTGAGCAATGACCGCAGTGCATTTGATGATTTGTTTTTGTATCTCAACGAGGAGATGGATGGCTGACTGGTGTTGAAATCTTTGCCTCGTTTGTCCTTATTATGTGCACATTTATTTCTGCTAGGGCGATTTTACTCATCTTGGGGAGATGAGATATTTTCTTCGCTGGAATTGAAGTCGAAATTCTTTTGTCTACGCTATGTTATTTTCCCGATCTTCCTTTCTTTGTTTTCGGGCTCTTGTTTAGATGGCGTTTACCGGTTGAATCCTAGCCTGATAACCATCTGCTACGAATGCAATGTCTTTGCTAGAATTCCAGAATCTTGGTCGAGGTGGTTTCCAGGGGAGCAATCGGTCTGTCCATTCACCTAGCTTAAAGTCCAAGCCAGTGAATACGGGAAGCAAACCAACCCAGTCCTCAACAATGAAACCAAGACCCAATCCACTCCCTTATTACCTATCTCATACATTCATAATCCACCACAAAGCTAATCCACTCTAAATGGCACTGTATATAACGGCCTCCATCAGAGCACCGCCTCCACAACCTGCCCACCGTCACTATTCGTAGTGATATACAACTTCTTCCTCATCCCCTCCTTTTCAACAACATGCACTGAAGTGGGCCCACGAACCACCTTTGTAAACAAGACCTCGACATCACCATCAGGACTAATTGTGCCGATCGCGCTCCCATTCGAACCTGCCATAGCCACATAGACCGTTCCCTCCTCATCAAAATCAAAGTCATCCCACTGATATTCTTCTAACCCGGAGTTCAACGTGGCAAGAACCTGCACTTCAACCTCGCCATCTTTCCCAGGCACCGCAATACCATCATCGGTAATCTTTACTCTTCCAAAAGTTTTCAGCGCAGTATTAGTATAGTACGCATACTCCCCGTGCGTCTTCAGTCCATTGATCCCGATCTCTGATGACCCATTCGCCGGAGCCGACAATGCGTCGCTCTGGACAACGATGTCCGAGGTTCCGGTCAGCGTGTCGATGCGAAATATACATCCCACACGGGAATCCGCTGCTAAGACAGTGGTGGGACGGCGTGGGAGGGAAGCAAGACCATTCAGCATGATTGCCTGCGGAAGATGCGCCACTGCTTTGGTGACCGGGGAAGCAGTGATGTTAGCTGCGAAGGCACCAAAGTCGATGGTGAACAAGGTTTCATTGTAGTAGTGATAGGAGCCACGGACACCACCGGTGATGGCGTACTTGCCGTGGCCGATGGGGGCTATGCCGGTGATGGCAGTGGCGTTGGGGTAGAAGGAGGTCAAGAGGTTGGCGGTGGGGTAAGGGTCATTGAGGTCGAGGGCGTAGAGACGGGCGTCGGTGAAGGTCGTAATGAGCATAGTGTTGGTGACAGGGTCGATGGCGCCATTTTCAATGTCGGTGGAGGTGCTGAAGTTGAAGAGTTGGGTGACGGATATGGGTGATGTTGGTTGGGAAAGGGTGGGTGAGAGGCTTAGAAACGTGAGAAGCAGCGTTGAAAGCTGCATTGTGAGGAGACTGTGGTTTGAGGTTGAAGACTTGGCGGGGGTGCAGTCTGGTTGCGCGAGGGGCACTATATATGTGGGAGCGGTGTTGATGATCGTCATTTCGTGCTGTCTTCTCATTGATGGACCTGATTTGCTATTTGCCATGAAATGTGGTCCTCGGGCACAATAGCTAGTTTCGGTTAGTTTGGAGGCGGGATGTTAGCAGTTACGCGGTGGATCTTATCTGATCGGATGGAGTCTGGGGAAGTTGATTGGCTCGGTCTTGTCATTGATTGTCAACTGTTCCCTGCTTAACTTAAGGATCGACATTGGTTATTCCCCGGTTCACAGAGCGACATAAGTCTCATTAGTTGTAGGAACAGTTGCTTCCTGAACAAACAACCATCCGTTGATAAAGATTTGTGATTCAAACTTATTCCAACAAATAACAAAAGTCCGATTGGAATCACTAACCAATACAACACAATTACATATAGGTTAATAGTATTGAAAACTGATATGGATCATCTCGCACCTCCCTCTTTAATACCCCTATGGGCCTCTATGTAAGCTTCTCATGCTGAAGACTGATGTGTCAGCTGTTACTAGTATAATTTATGCTGCATGTTTATATATTGTTCCTCGACTCACCATCGAGCAGTCTGTTCTTTATTTAAGACTAGTAGCCATGTCAAAATTTCTCATGGCTTCCTAACTGGATGGCTCAGCTCAGGAGTCCTATGATCAAGACTTGGGCACTGAATGAATTTCTACTCAAGGTACACAGCGTCTTTCATCCGAACTCGCGGAAACATAACAATCATCATTAAATTTCGCTTTGTAGGTAAGACCCTGTTTCACAGTCTCCGACGACCCACCACAGATCCATGGTGCCCACTTCAGGCCGGAATATCCGGCATAGGGCCCTTGTGGTCCGGGAAATCGGTGCTACGGGCAACTTCCTCCCATTCCTCCGCAATGCGCATCATATCCCGCGCCTTCTCCTTAAGGAACCCAAGAGAATCACTACCAAATGGCACACGCAAGGGGATCTCTTTGCCTTCTGCAATCCCCTCTCCCTTTGCAATTTGGATGACCTTGGCAATCAAATCCACCGCATTGCCAGGTGGATTGCGGTAGTTGCCCTCTCCGCGCACGCGACACGCATCGTTAAGGCCCCGGTAGAAATCGACTCGGTAGGGAACATGGTTGATATTTCTCATGACTTCAGTGCTGAAAATGCCTGCTTCAATAATAAGAGGCTTGATACCCGGTGCCAGCCAGCCTAACTCTTTCGAGAGACTTTCCACGGCCCCTGTAGCGGTTAAGAATCACACCGTCAGCTTCATCGTGAACTTTCAGATGGTATACCGGGACACATTTACCTTCCAATGCAAATTTACTGGCACAGTACGCGGATGCAGCAGGCTCTCCCCAGAAGCCAGACTGCGATCCCATGTAGATGATCATACCTTGACCCTTTTCGCCCTTGCTGCGGAAATGCGGCAATGCGGCGCGGGTCAGGTTGATAGGACCATGGAAATTCGTGTCGAGGGATCGTTTCATATCCTCCGGCCTAAAGCCTCAGTCAGTCAAACGTGGCCTTCCTAATTGGCTTCGTCAAACAAAGGACTTGGAGTCCTCAGGCCAACACTCACGTGAGCTCCTCGATGGCCCCGCATTGGATGTACCCCGCGTTGTTCACAAGTACATCTACTCCCCCATAAATGTCAATGGCCTGTTGGAACTTCGCGTTCAACTCTTCTTGAGGTGCCGTGACATCAAGTTCAAGAATAGTGGCACCAGTTTCTTTCAAGTGTGCGAGCTTGGTTTCAGCATTCCGGCCTGTCGCGATGACGTTGTCACCCCGTGCGCGGAGCTGGCGTACAAACTGCTCCCCAAAGCCACTGGAGCAGCCAGTGATGAACCAGGTTTGTTGTTCTTTTGTCATCTTTGCAAGTAACTGATGCTGATTGTACAGG